AGACACTAGCTACGGTTGTCTCTGTCTCTCTACCTAGGAGTGTAATATGGCTTAGTACATAAAAAAGAGAGAATTGGGCACGCTTGCCTAACATCCAAAAGCTTTAGGTTTCGATCTTTAGCTTTACATATAGTAATTACACGTACAAATATAAAACTCTTACATCGTTCAATTTCACTGTTAATTCATTAATGTTGGTTTTTAAGGGGTGGAAAGGGTACGGTTCATCGTGTTACCTATTCGATACTACTAAGCAGGATTGGGATACGGCCACTGTCAAGTGCCAACGTGACTTGAATGCAGACTTAGTTTCAATATCAGACAGGTAAGAATAACTTTTATCCAAAGGCCCAGGTTCTAAATAATAAGCATGCACCATCATAATGCTAGTTAGAAATTTATTAAATAATAGGACTAAATACTTGGATTTTCCCGACAAGCACAACCATGACACGCTAGGTAACCAGTGTTTACATAGTCTGAAGGAAAACATTCCTGATCGACATTTTAACCCAAAACCGTTCAGTTGCTATACCAGCTGGGTGATAGAGCCGATAATATATTTTACTCTCTGGAGTGAGTAAAAACTATGACTAAATAAATAGGGTTGAAAATGTATTTACACCGTCCCCAGAAGCAATGCTATGAAGTTATAGCTATGAAGCCGACATAAACTATTATGTACTAAGCCAATTAGAAGTTGCAATTTCATAACGTTGATCTTTTAGGTTTGAGCAAGCGTTCCTTACAGACCAACTATCAACAATGAAGGGGTTGTACTGGACAGGGCTCAATGACCGGAGCGCTACCGGAACATACACCTGGAATGATGGTACACCTGTCGCATACACCAACTGGGATCAAGGTCAACCGAGTAAGAACATACGTATACGAATTTTTTTCTGATTTGATGCTTTTAAACTGCTCAATTGTAGATTGATTTTATACTTACTAAAAACTATAAGAGCAAAGATGCTGGAATTTCCTGCATCCGTGTTTTAACCGAGATGGAAACTAACATAACTTTCGAAGTCGTAACGTATGTACATATTTATGAATAAAACAAATATTATGTACTATTACTTAAAACGTTAACCAAATTTTGGTTAACCATCGTTATAATCATTTCAGACAATGGCGACGGCAATTGTGTTGCCGTAAAGACCAGCACGCCAACTGGCTTTTGGGACGACCAACCATGCCAGTCACAATTTGGTGTGATATGTGAGAAAGTACGAGATGGGTACACAAGGCCCCCTGTCATGACAACTCAACCCTCAGATGCAAATTGCCTAGACGGATGGGCTGGGTATGGTTCAAACTGCTACAAGGTAGATGAAAGCAAATAATATTTTTTTCATATCACTTGCTTCTTTTGCAGTAATACTGTCCATACGGATGTTTTTTTTTTATCATCATTATTATTGTTATTTTGTTGTAGCTAGTCATTCTGTTGTATACCATCAGTCAATAGTGCCTAAAACGTGAAAATAGTCGTTTCCCATCACATGCTGTCTTTTCCTTTGTTTTCAATGTTATAGAGGTTGTCGATTATTTTTAATATGAATTGTTGTTTATCTGACTTTAAATGTAGTGTGTAAATCAGTTTTTTTTTTAAAGCAAGCACATTTGTTGATCTTTCATTTTCATTACTGTACCTTTGAATTAATACATACCTTGTAGGCATGTACAATTTAGTGTGACGAACTAGCCTATAACAGAGGAATTACTTGGTTAAAATAAACAGTACTACCACACTTAAAGAATTTGAAGGCATAGCATGATTATCAATTTAAAATATGCATGTAACTTATTAACTCATGTCTCATTTAGGTGAACTCTGTTGAAAAAGACAAGATGTTAACTTGGGAGGAAGCATTAGAAGGCTGTAGACGTCAGGGCGCAGAACTAGCTAGTTTTCACAGTAATCCAGAAGAGGAGTGGCTAAAATTAACAATAACAGCGAACACGTAAAAACATATAATAACAATTTTAAATGCAAAATTAAAGTGTACAGTACTACCAAAAGTTTATTAATGCAAATGTATCAATGATCATGACATATTTATCTTGTTTCCCTTTTTTTCAGGACATACGGTAATTTCTGGATTGGACTAAATGACCGTGACACAGAACAACGTAAACATATGTATACTTATTTTAATTAATTATAACAAACTATGTGTATAAATCTAAAATTCCATTGAAATCTGCAATCGACCTCTTCAATATTTATTATTATTTACCATTTGATTGGCAAACCGGATACAAGTTTGTATTTGTCCATGTTATA